CCCTGGGATCATGACCCAAGCTGAAGGCAGACGCTTAACCGACTGAGCCACCTAGGCGTCCCTCAAGATATTTTTTTTTTTTTAGATTTTTTTTTTTATTAATTTATTTGAGAGAGAGAATGAGATAGAGAGAGAGAGCATGAGACAGGGGAGGGTCAGAGGGAGAAGCAGACTCCCCGCTGAGCAGGGAGCCCGATGCGGGACTCAATCCTGGGACTCCAGCATCATGACCTGAGCCGAAGGCAGTCGCTTAACCAACTGAGCCACCCAGGCGCCCCAAGATATTTTTTAAATTCCCTTTTGATTTCCTATTTGATCCAATGTTTATTCAAGAGTGTGTTAGTTTCCATGTATTTGTGAACTTTCCGTTTTCTTGCTGTTATTGACTCCTACTTTCATTTTTTTGTACTCAGAAAAGATACTTGGTATGATTTTGATCTTAAATTTGTTAAGACTTGTTTGTGATCTAACATGTGATCTATCCCAGAGAATATTCTCTGTGTGCTTGCGAAGAATGTGTATTCTTCTGCTGTTGGGTGAAAAGTTTTATATATGTCTATTATGTTCATAGTGTATATGTTTGGTATATAGTGTTGTTCAAGTCCACTGTTTATTGATTTTCTGTCTGGATGTTCTATTATTGCAAGTGGGGTATGAAGCCTACTATTGTTGTATTGCTGTCAATTTCTCCTTTCAGGTCCATTAATATTTGTTTTACATATTTAGGTGCTTCGATATTGGATATATATTTGTAACTGTTTCTTTTGAGTTGACCCTTTTAGCATTATGTAATGACCTTTGTCTCTAGAAACAGTTTTTTTCTTCTTTTTTTTAAGGGGGGCGCAGAGGGAGAGAGAGAATTTCAAGCAGGCTCCACGCACAGCATGGAGCCCAATGCAGGGCTCGATCTCATGACCCTGAGATCATGACCTGAGCTGAAACCAAGAGTCCCAGGCTTAACTCACAGAGCCACCCAGGTGCTCCTCTAGAAACAGTTTTTAAATTTTTAAAATTTTTAAAAAATATTTTTATTTATTTATTTGAGAGAGAGAAAGAGAGAGTGAGAGAGCACAAGCAGGGGGAGTGGCAGAGGGAGAGAGAGAAGCAGACTCCTCGCTGAGCAGGGAGCCCAATGTGGGGCTGGATCCCAGGACCCGGACCATGACCAAATGAAAGGCAGACGCTTAAGTTACTGAGCCACCCAGGTACCCTACAAACAGATTTTGACTTAAAATATACTTTGTCTAAGTATAACCATTCCTACTTTCTTTTGACTACCATTTGCATAGAATAACTTTTTCTATCCCTTCACTTTCAGCTTATGTGTGTTCTTGAATTTAAAGTGGGTTTCTTATAGACAGCATACAGTTAGATCTTGATTTTTTTTTAAAGATTTTTTAATCTATTTTTTAACAGAGAGAGAGAGAGACAGCGAGAGAGGGAACACAAACAGTGGGAGTGGGAGAGGGAGAAGCAGGCTTCCCGCGGAGCAGGGAGCCCGATGCGGGGCTCTATCCCAGGACCCTGGGACCATGACCTGAGCCGAAGGCAGACGCTTAATGACTGAGCCACCCAGGTACCCCTAGATCTTGATTTTTTATTCTCTTGGCTACTCTGTATCTTTTTCCTGGGGAATTTAGTTTATTTACATCTAAAGTAATTATTAATAGGGAAGGATTTACTGTTATCATTTTTTAACTGTTTTGTTTGTCTTGCAGTTCTTTTGTCCCTCTTTTCTCTCTTGCTGTCTTCCTTTGTGTTTTTTTGCTTTTTTGTATTGTTAAGTTTTGATTCTTTTCTCTTTTCCTTTTGTGTATCATCCAGAAACATTTTCTTTGTGGTTACCAAGGGGCTTACCTAAAATCTCTTAGAGTTGTAACAGTCTATTTTAAACTAATAACAATTTTACTTGCATACAAGAACTCCCACATTATATGCTACTGATGTCATAATTTACATCTACTAATACTCTGTATCCATTAACATAACTTAGAGTTGTTGAAATGGAATTTGAACTCATAGTGTAACTGCAGGGTCTACGTGCCAAACCTAGGTCACAATGACTCTCGCCCCCTAAAAATATAGTATGGTTCTGTTCTTGGTCTCCAAGTAGATGGATGAATCAATGTTACTCAGTATCATTCATTCAGAATAAACCAGTATTATCATGATACTGAAGCTTCCTAAGTTAGGATACTCTATATCTATCATAAAGGCCTTTTCAGAGGGCTATACTGTACAAAATAGGTACTCTATTCTTCCATTTATATAAAAAATATTTATTTATTTTTAAAAAGATTTTACTTATGAGAGAGAGAGAGAGTACAAGCAGGGGAAAGGGCAGAGGGACAAGCAAACTCCCCACTGAGTAGAGAGCCCAATGCAGGGCTCGATTCCAGGACTGAAGATCATGACCTGAGCCGAAGGCAGACGCTTAACTGACTGAGCCACCCAGGCGCCCCTATTTTTTTTTTTAACTTCAAAAAGCTTTATTGAGGTATAATTTACATATTACAAAATTCATCCATCGTATATAAG